GACAAAAAAACTTTGCTTCTTACAGAGCTAACTTTCCTATGGAGAAAATCATGCTAGAAGGCTTTTCTTGTCCAGTGTTCACTTTCAAATTTTAAAGATTTCTCAAAAATAGGGAAGAGTGCTCTGTAAGTGTGCCACCCATTTCAAAAGCACTGGAGACACAACTTTCTGTTGCAACATCACAGAATAAAATTTGATTCTGTTGGGTAAACAGCAATTTCAGTATCCACGAAACTACTTGCAAGTTGCAACAGGAAGAAATTGCGTTCTACTGGAGTGATGTGGCACGTGCTTTTTGGTCCTGCATCTCCCACCAGATTTGACCCCTCCCGCTCCTAATAGCTTACCCTCCTCTAGAAGCACAATTGCATTGCAGTCATGGTGGTGCTCAGATTTAGACAACAGATATAACAGCAGAAGGTCCTTCACCTTGCAAACAAACAAAATAAATGGTAGTGAAAATTATTCGTGAGTGTATGATGACATTAGAAAATAAATCTTGCAGGATGTGGAACTCCTCTGAAAGCTCGGTGTGACTGTTCTCGAACCAGACCCAGTCACCTCCTGCTACTGGACACTGTCTTCCTTCGGTGTAAAGCTGGCCTCTCCCAGCAATCCAGACAGCCATATGACGCGGGGCTGATTCTTGCCTTGAGCTTTAAAAAAAAAAAAAAAAACTGGGGAAGAGATTACTCACCAAATCTCAGGTTAATCTCTGCATTGTCATGTTCCTCCAACCTGCAGTAATTCCCCATGATTGACAAAGACTCTCCAGTTGATACTTTCCCCACCTGAATGTACAGGCCCAGACCCAAACTTCTCTCAGCCATTCTGATACATCTGAGTGCTCTCTACCTTTGAGTTCTCCCTGGTAGGGGCCCATTAGCATTTGCTACACAGGCATCCAGTCCACTCTTAACAGATATTTGGAATATTGGACAGAATCCAATGAAGGCCTTGAAGACCGTGTGTCCCGAAAGCAGTTGCAGGACCAAATTTGCACCCAAACCCTTGGGTCTAGTTGCAGTCAATGTATCGAAGGACATTGGATGCCCGCATTCCTTGATATAGAAATTTGTGGGAGTGGGAGTGGGGTTGGGGAAGTGTCAGGAGCCCCTAGGATAAGTCTCGTGCTGAGATATCTGGTGTCTTCTTCCTGCCTCAGCTCTACTCCTGTCTAGGAAAAGGCAACAATGACCTCCTAGGTGAAAGGAAATTGCAAAGTGCCCTTTTATTTTTTTTAATAAATAATTTTTAAAACCTGCTACATTAATGTTGTGATCTAGAGAGAAGGAGATGATGACTTTTCATTTACATAGGCAAGTGAATACAGGTTACAGAGTCTCGAGCTTCATCTTCTGGAAAGATCACAGAACATGGTACAAGGTCAGACTGGCATGAAATCAATTGTAATCTGCCAGCAAGCCATTCTAACCTCTTTAAGAGTTTCCTTTTATATATATTTTTCCCTTTATAGAGAGAGCAAAGTACATTTAAAGAAAGTCTCATCAAATTGGAATGTCTTTCTAATATTATTTTTTTAATTGGTTGCTCCTGCAGTGTGACCTAAGGCCTCCTGGCATTTAACCCTCTGTGCTACTGACTAATGAATGAATTTTGTCTGCTCTAAGAGTCTTGCTAAATGTCTTTCATAGGGTTTTTTTAGAAATTACACTATTATGAAAACCTCAGATCCCTCAACCTAATTGATTGGCTGTTGGTGATGCCATCTCTATAACTATAATGTTCCATAAGTGCACAGACCTAACTATTTTTCTTATTTTTATATAGCGGTTCCATTTTATAATGACATTAAGCCATTCTGGGCGATACATTTCTGGGCAGTTATTGCACTTGGGTAGAAAGTGTCATCTGGCTTGTAGCCTTGTGCCTTACAACACCAATCGAGGCATAAAACGATCACCCAGAAAATGTACTGGGCCTTACCTCATTACTTAAAAATAAATCTTAGAGTCTGGGTCTGTCTCAGAAAAGCTTTGGTGGGTTATAACATTTGATTTATGAACATAATTAAAATATAAATGATGAGCTTTGGGCTATTCAGTCAGCCATCGGGATTGTGCAGGATTTTGACATACTCACATTGTAGTCAGGATCTTCCTAGGAAAATTTAACCTCCCTGAGTTCTACAGGCACCACTGGAATCCCAGAAATGTCTAGTCCACCTGTTGAGCATACCTGAGCTCTTTCAGGGCAAACGAAGGGGATCGATCTTGACATGGAGACTGCCGGAGTGGTTTGTAGGCTGGGCATGAAGATAGTTCAGCTGCCCCACAGTCAGATAATATGCCTATAAATACTGCATGTGTCAACAGAGGAGGACATTTTTCTGTATAATACAAACAAGATTAATGTTTACCTTTTCAACTAGCTATTAAGGTAACCGTGGCAGCTGTACCCATAAGTAGATGGTAGATGTTTCTCCAGGAACCTGAGGAGTAAATTGGGACAATCAGTTATCAAAATTGAAGGTGCATTTTCTATGGCTTAGTATGTTGTGTGTGTGTGTTTTTAATATAAATTCCAGGTACAGTAAATCCTTAGCTTGCTCTTCCTAATTTCTTTGAGTAATTGGCAACCGAGAAACAGCCATTAGTAACATAAAAAAGCATTTAACTAAGAGTCCATGGTACTGCAAAGAGGCAAGAGTGGATTAGATTTTCAACACTTTCTTTATTATTAATGGAAGTTGAGCATGTAAAACCCCTAGCGCACTGTGCTAAAAAAATAGACCCTCTCCGTGTGCTTGTAAATGACACAAGGGAAAAAAAAAAAAACCCAAAACCTTCCACATAGGCCAACAGGCATTCTGCTTCTCCTTAATTAATGGGCAGAAGTCAGCAGTGCATGGAAAATGTAGTCCTTCCATGGATCAGAGATTAACCTATAAGCAAATGTTACATTTCAGCCCAGATTTGGGGCTTTAAATTTATCCTCACCCCAGAATGGTTCCTAGGTAAAAATCACAGAGGTTTCCCAACCAGGAACCCCATAAGTGCTGCTGTTCCCAAATGTGAAATATAAGGGAACAGATCTTTGGCTGTCTATGTTTTCAGTCACATAACCTTCTGGCATTTGTTTTCATTGATTTGTTTGTTTGTTTGTATCTTGTGTTTGTAATAAACTTCACTGGCCAGCTCTGTGTTTATGTGTTACACCACCAAAAATAATAGATTTGCATATGTCACCCAGTGGTTGTATTTAGTGTAAGCTGTAGTCCGGAGCTCTCCAAGGAGGGTGGCCAGGAGCCCTTGCTTCTGCCCAGCAAGCCAGTCTTCATTCAAGGTCATCCTGTTTATCCTGTCCGTTTCTGCCTCTCTTTAGTGACTACTTTCCCGGTCCAGTTACCAGTACCTGGAAACCTCCACGCCGTTTTGCTTTTGAACATCTCCTTCACTAGCAAGTCCGAGAATAGAACGGTATAACTTTGCAGGGGTCAGCTGGAGCTCTTGGGCCTGTTAAGTTAGGTCCTCTGGCAAGTGACTTAGCTTCTCAGAAAGGGTTACCGGCTCACAGTGTGCAGTGTACACTGGTGTACAAGAAGGCCCTCTTAAGAGGTTCTGAATGCCACGTGGCTTTCAGAGACATAAGAGAAAGATCTGTGATGAGAACGAGACTATACAAATGTGTCTGGAAAGTAGCTATCCCCAGAGGGGACTCCCTCGTTCAGCCTATTTTAGCCGCGTGCAGGTTGAGATCTGTTGAGCCCTGCCGTATTTCTGATTTCTCTCTCAGTCCATAGGATGAATGTTAATGAGCTAAGCAGTGCTTGTAAAAGGCCAAGGGGCTGTTGTTTAGGTGGTGTGATTGTCTGAGAAAGTAAAGTTATGGAAATTGTTTTGACCTTTCAGCCAAGTGATGTCTTGCCCTCTCACATTTATTACTCTTGGGTACATTTCCAAAAATATACATTTACAGAGCCACAGAATTAAATCAGAAATCTGATTTGGGGATTAATAGCTTGTTAGTTTAACATGGAAAAAAATCTCCCAATTCCATTCAGGTTTTATTTGTAAATGTATTTGTATATGCATCTGAGTTAATCCCATTCCCTCTTGGTTCCCTCCCTGTGCCCCACACCTCCCGTCATTCATCCCTCGTACCCAAACCCCCACAAACTCCAACCATGGGTTTTAAGTAGCTAATAGATGCAGGAATACCTATGTCAGTTAGCTAAGTACTTGACCATCTAAAGAAGCTCTACATGGTTTTAATTATGGATTGCCACTGGGAAATGCAGATTTGAACCAGAAACCCCAACATTTTCGGGACTGTCTCTCTTTATCACTATGACCTTGGACTGGCTACTTCATTCTCTTGATACCACTGCCCTCATCCCTAAAACTGGGCTCATTACACCCCCAAGGACAGTTCCTACCACAGTAGGCTCTCAGTACCTGTCCATATCCTTCCTTCTCATGTGTATACGTTGAGACATCAAAAAGTTTGGTTGGGACCACCAGAACTTCCCATTTCATTATTCTTAAAGCCATTTGAGTGGAATTCAGAAGTTTTTATTTCCCATTTGAAATCAAGAGCGTAGAAGAGGCAAACTTATTAATATGCATTGTCACAACATATTGCCACATAGTAATATATGATATATGATAAAGTGTATCAATTCTGAGCACCACAAATATCTGTGGCTTCACCTCAGCATGAAGGCAAATGAGTTTCCTTTAGCTTGAGTGAGTTTGGAGATAAACTTCAATGTAACAAAATGTATTTCACAGGAAATGTTTGATGTGGCGCAGTTGGCTTATGAATCTCTTATCTGTTCGCAGTTCACTCCTTGGAGTTATTAGTCAATTTAATTTGAGCAAATGCCAGGATTACTAACTAATTAGGAGGATGTTAGTGAAGGCATGAGGACAGGGAGAGAGGGAGTGCTGGTGGTATGGGGTTTGTGGCAACGTGCAAGTCTGATTTTTGCCTGATATCATTTGCTAAACATTATACTTTGTGTTGTTGTCACACAGATAAGCCTCAAGTGCATATTCAGATGACTTATCCTGTACAAGGCCTAACGCGGGAAGGAGATGCGTTCGAGTTAACATGCGAAGCCATCGGGAAGCCCCAGTAAGTTCTGAAGGCCAAGGTTGACAGAGGGTCATGAGCAGTAAATGTCACAACACGGAAATGTGCACTCACAAGTCACCAGCCTGTCACCTGTCTCTTGCTGTAAAGTATGGAAGATTTTTCAAGAAATAAGGAATAGTCAGTGAAAGAGGGAATGAATATCTGTGGCTGGTTCTTAATGGTCAGGATTGGAAGAAAAGTGAAATGCCAGCTAAGATTGAAATCTCAGCTAATTCTATTTTATTATCATCAACATGATTGTCAGAACTATCTTCTCTTACAAAAAATAATCCTAATAAATTTTTGGTATGCCCATAATCTAATGATATATCTGCTACCTTCTGTGTTAATGTCTAAGCTGCCAGGAAGATGGTTTTCAGACTTAAATTAAGCCGCTGTGATTAGGGCCGGCCGTTGGAAAATGAATTTGCCCTACCTTTGATTTGGCTTCTCCTTCTCTCAAAGAAAAATGACTCCTAGAAATATTTTTGTTAGAAAGGAATGGTCCTAGAGCTTTTATCACGGAATACAACATATATGTCATTGCATAAGAGAAAGAACCTATTAACACTCTTGTTTGATTGAAAAGTATAAAGAAGCTGCTTCCTGGCTGAATGAAAGTGAATTAGGGAAACTGCTATACATCATCACTAATACAGGACAAAAGCCATGCAGCAAGGCCACTGTCGACCTCATTCAGTTTTATTTGGGGAGAGTAGAGACTCTTCTCTTTGTAGGACAGTGAAGATTGTTTTCTTATGGAAAAAACAATTCGTGGAATCCTAAGATGTAACAGGGTCAATGTTGGGATTATAAACGTTCAGACTTTGAGTGGTCCATCCCCAACAACCAAAACACCAGCATTGAGCTCCCTCTGCTGTCCCTGTGGTATGATTCCCCCCCCCCCCCCCCCGTCCCTCAGAGTTTTACTAATGAGCCTCACTGTCACAGTTTTCATGCTCTGAGCATCTTAAGGAAGCTGCCCCCAAATCTTTGGAAAGCATGCTCCCCATTTACAGCTAAGGAGTGATCTCAGACGGAGGCTGGCGGCTGTCTGCTCTCTTCCCATTTCAGCCCTTTTTGTGTTGTCCTTCCCTTTCTGTGGACAAGACTCTGCTTCTGTCCTACTAACCATTTGGAGCTTTAAAGAGGACCGTTAGGAAGTAGGATATGGCCTTGGTTCTGTTTTGCTTTTCCTCTGGTGTTTCACAGTCACTTGATTTGAAATGCTCCAAGCTTTGGCAGAGCTGTTTTTTCCTCCTTTGAACACTGCAAAAGATGCAGATCTTTCTTTTTGTAAACTGTTTGGATTATGCCCTGTTGAGTGGCTTGCCTTGCCTCCAAAAAAATCCTGTTGGAGAAAAACATTCTCCCAGGCCTCTCGCCACTTGCAATACCTACATTCAGCCACATTAACCACATTTATAGGATATGGCTTTGCTAACCTATATTTTGTTTCTGTGCTTTTTTTCCCCCTGAAGAAGGTACTGTGTTCAATTGAATGTGCCACGGGGACAGTAAATTACATGTTTCCTTCAGGACATTTATGCCAGGAGGGTATTTGTTTGCTCCTCTCAAATCGGAATGGGTGTGTGGTCGTGGGAGCAAGCACGCGTTACTCCGCTGCGGTCCCTTCTAGCATATTACCTATTTATTTTCTCAAGAAATTGCATACAATAAAAATGGTAATTTAACTTGCCATTAAATGTTGTGAATATTCTCAGCACTTACCCCCACTGATTGTTTCAGCTGTCAAGCAGCAGGACATTAGATCTGATTGCCAGGCAGACCCATTTGCCATTGCCTGCAAGGAGCACATATGCAGGACTAATTTTTAAATAATTTACTGGGTTATGATGACAAACCCATGTGTAATTAAAGAAAAATTGTAACTTCACATTCCATTTGAAAATTGGAATGCTACTTGACAGGGCTAACAGGTGTTTGCTCATCATTAAGCAACGGGTCTTAGGTCCTGTCGCCACTCCTGGGCAGCATTGTAGACCGACAGGAAGTGACCTCTGTGCTCGTGTCTCTGCTGCCCTTCTTTTAAAATGAGAGTTTCAGGCACAATCTTCCATATGGCCCTGGTGTCACAGGAGGCTAAGGGGACCACCCTGAAGAACTCAAGTTTTAGATTCAGTGAGTTTGAAAGACTTGATGTTGTGTGATTTGGGCTCTGGAGCATCTTGTGAAATTTGCTTTTCCCTGATGGATGCACACGTGGTACTTGAAATCCCTAACACAAGCATGCTTCTGTGCAAGTGCCACAAGGAGCTCGTCTGGAGCTGTGCCCCTCGGTGACTGCCCCAGAGCCTCGCCCTTGAGTCCAGGGCCTGCAGGTGCACATGGGGAGGAGGGGGGTGACAGCATGGGGCATTTGGAGAGCCAGCAAAGCAAGGCATTTTGCCCAGGAACAAGTAGAAAAAGTGGACTGAGTTGGGGGAGGCAGGTTACAGGTAGGAGTGAAGGGGAAAAGAAGTGATTGCATCTTTCCAGAATAAATAGAAGTGGGTTTTTCCAACAGCAGAGGTCAAAAGATAGCAGCACTCAGATGTAAAAGTCCATTTCTTTGTGCAAAACTTGAAATCCACTCAAATATTACAAGTGGCTTCTAAGCAAGGGTCTTGGTGTATCAGTAACCATCAGATTAATGCATGTATCACTAGCCAAGAATGTGATGTTTTCCCCCTAATTAATGAGATGATTAATGATGGGTGAGCTCTGTCCTGTCTGAATTGGTGTGAAACCACACAGCAGGGCATAAAAATAGGGAGCACTGGTTTATTTGCTGATTTGTTAAAGATGAATTGGAAATAATGAGACTCCGGCATGTGTTCTGTTGAAAGTTTCTCAACACCTGATAATGTTTTCAAAAAAAGTTTATTCCAAACAGATTTGAGGGGACTTCACGGCTGTAATTCTGTTAACTTAAAACACGTCCAGCAGGTCCTCTTTAATTGTGTCACCCTGCATGCGATTCCTGTAACACACAGGTGGGAAGCCAAGACAGGCAACTTGGTGGGAAATAATAAAGCAGCCTGTGTTCCTCCTCTTTACTCTGCAGGCCGGTGATGGTGACCTGGGTTAGAGTTGATGACGAGATGCCTCAGCACGCCGTCCTGTCTGGGCCCAACCTGTTCATCAATAACCTAAACAAAACAGATAATGGTACTTACCGCTGTGAAGCCTCTAACATAGTGGGGAAAGCTCACTCGGATTATATGCTGTATGTTTACGGTACGTGGAAAGCTAAAACAGTCTTCCCCTAGACTCATTTACACGTAGCTGCTGCTTGTGATTCACTCCCAGAGCTTTTGGTCCAGTTGAAAACCAAAAGCCAGTTTGTTTTCTTCGAGAACGTAAAGAAGCCTGGCCTGAGGTGGACCCCAGCATCTCCACCTGGGAGGGCAGTGACTTTTCTTCTCTCCCTCTGATCGTGGGGAGTTCCCGCTAGATCACAGTCCCTGGTCATGCTGAGCAGGAAAGCTGTATCCTCAGGCACAAGCAGTGGAGATTATGTTAGAAATAATGACTGCGAAATTCAGCCTTCCCAATTAATGGCTATTTAGCTCAGAAAGTTATTCCCAGTGGTATTTTCCTGTGATACCTCAGCTAGCCTTTTTCCTGCTTTGATGAACAGAAGTATCCTGTTTTCAACATGAAGCTATTACATTCTGGAAGATGTTGCAAGCTGGTAAATACTTGGGGGAAAAAAAATATATATATATAAGGTCCTTATAGCTGCATAAACCACTCATAGCTACTCCTTCAGACATGAATGTATTTATTTTTAAATTTGTCTGTTTTCTTAATATCTTTTTACAGGATAATTAAAGCATATATTTCATGAATTGCATTCTCTAACCAACACGTTTATTGAGCATCTACTACGTGTCAGGCATTATAGACTTTTTTTTCCCATTTATATCTTAATGTCAATTTTGTGTCTAGTGAATATTCTCTTTTTAGTTGAGGAGTGCACTGCCTTTCTAGTCTTAGGATGACAGATTGAGTCTCTTCTGTCCAATCGATGTCTCTAGGTTATTTTTATACCAGGAAGCATAGTCATGAACTGACACTACATGTAGTGAGTAACCACAGGCCAGAAAAATCTCAGCGTCTTACAAATATATGGGTATGTGTGTACACATTTATTTCTTCCTGTTAGCACCGTAAATAATCCCAATATAAGTATATGTGAATATACACCTATACACACATAACTATACCTATGGAATACTTACATCATTATGTTTTAGAACCTGACCACTTTCCTTATGAAGTAAACAGGAGTCACTGTCTTTTTGAGGACATCGGAACATGCTTTACACCATATCTACATGGGTACTTAAATATAATCCTTATAATCTAATCCTGAAGTTTTGGGATTTTTTTTACCCTTTTAACAAATGCAGAATTACAGGATCACATCTACTCACCTGGTTTGTAAACTTCTGAGGTGTGTTTTCTGCATATACCGCCCATGTTGTCTGTAGTCCACACATGGAATAGCATTAATTCTCTCCAGTGGTTGAGGAGATCCAAGTGAAGGGAATGGCGGTCCTGTGTAGGTGCCAGGGGCCTCCACATGTCCCATTTCCAGGTGATACTACACAGCTGCCTGTGCCTCAGACTGTTCACAGTCTGCTGATGCCAGGGGGTGGAAGGTAAATCCCCCTCTGTCCATGAGGGTTTGACGCTCGTGCAAGCCCTGTCCATTGCTGCCACTGGTCAGCGGTGGGTCCCAATGGTGGTAAATCACCACCAATCTACTATATGCTTCCTTGATTCAGAAACTAAGTTATCTCCGGAGAAACAATTGTGATTTATCGTACCTACTGTTCCCATGTCTCAAGAAATGTTTTGTGGATTTGACTGACACTGAGGTATTTCGATAATCTGGGATGCCAGCTTACAGCTGGCACTTGCTGGGCGCTCATTTTGTCGCACAAGAGTGACCACCTCTCCACAGTAACACCAGGAAGTATGCATTATCCTCGTCCCACTTTTCAGATGACAGATGAAGCTTGGAAAGGTCATCTAAGCTGCCCAAGTTCACAGGGTCACTAACTCTGTTTCCGAGCCAAGATACTTGGAAGGCCAAGTCCATGGGGACATTTGTGTCTTACTTCTTACTTTGGAGCGCCTCTTGCTTCCCAGTAGAAGAGTTCCCACCAAACATAAGACTGTTTTTGGAATTCACTTGCTGGGCTGGAGTACGTTATTGAAAGCCAAGAAACATAGCAACCTACCTGTTTAGACAAGCGCGCACACACACACACACACACACACACACACACACATACATCTCCCCAACCCAGGATGGTGCACTTGCCCTCGTCTAGGGATCTGTTCAATCTGCATTATTCTACTTGCCTCCCTTAAGCTGTGCCAGTAGCAGTGCTTGGAATGGCAGGCTAGAACACCAGCCTGAGGTACTGCTAGTCTGTTAGTAAAATATCCTCGCAACTTGAGAAGATGGCAAGTAGGTTTTCTTTTCAAAGGTGATTTATTGTACTGCTGCAGTAACATTAAGAGTACTTTATGAACTAAGCATTCACATGCTTTTAAAATGTTTAATTCTCTGGAAATAACTCCTGTACTTGGAGAATCTAGCTGGTTAGTGCCTGAACCCCGATTGGTTTTGTTCTTTTAGCTTCCATGTGTCAAACACAGCTCATTAGCTCCAACTCTGTATTTTCTTAAATAGTGGCCTCACGTTGCTCTTATTGCTAGAAACGATCTGAGTGATGAGGTTATATCTGTTAACGGAATCTAATTCATTCAGGTCACTTGAGCCAGATGTGAAGGACAACAGTTACCCCGGTAGTGATGAAAATAATTGAAAGTGTGTGATTTTCACATAACGAAAGGCACTGGTGACCTTTTTTCTGAAGTCCCTGCCCTTGTTAGTCTGGTCTACCCCTTGTTCATAATCGTATTTTCAAATCATATTTCAAAAACGGACCTTCAGCTCCCCTTTGATTGTATTGTGGCTATCCCACATTTTGTGCCAATACTTTGAGAGAGAGAGGTACAGAAATAGCATTAGAGTATATTCAGGGGAAGTCTCCCAGGCACAGATGTTCCTTCCCAGTGATAAATATTGTAATTGAACCAGAACAGGAAAACCACATTAGCTGCCCACATGCTGGGCAGCAGGCACCTCTCCAGGTACCATTGAACTAGGTAGTAGAGGGCGCAGGATGTCTTCGGAGCTCAACTCGGAGGACAGTGCACCTTGCTCATCTGTATCTGTCCCAGTGCCTGCAGCAAGGCGTGGGTGCATCCATGTGACCTGCCAGGTCACAGAATGCTTCCTTACCTGGGGCCTCCGTGAGAAAGTGTCCAAGAAGCAAGACTGAACATAACTGCCTATTCATCTAAAAAGGTAGTTTGAAATTACTAATTTAAACCATCTCTGCTTCTTGGAGGAGAATGAGATTTTTGTGTGTGCGTGTGGGTTTTTTTTTTATTATTATTAATTCCTTTTTGGATTTCTCTGTGAAGCTGCTTTAAAGCACTCATGTCCACAACTTTGAACGAGCACAGTCTCCTGTAAAACAGAACAATTTGCTGCTGCTTCTTCCCCATCAAATCCATACATTCTGTATGTGTTAGAGAAGTTTGTGAGGAAAATTAAAACCTTGGATTGATCAATAGTAGGCATCATTTTGAACAGACCTTACAACCAGGCGCCAAAATAGTGTTTTTATAAACTTTCAGGAAGTTGTACCAAAGCCAATAAAGGTGCAGTATATAATTAAAGTTTTGATGTATTAATTAGACAATCTGAGAGCTCACTTGGAGATAAAAGGACACCAGATGTGTCAGGAAGAGAAAGTTGACGTGCTTTAGATAAAATTTAAAATCAAAAGCCTTCAAATCGTCTTATGCTCTATTATAGCAGAATGATTGCTTAGTTCAAAGTCTTCCTGACAATTTAACACATTCAGTTTGATCATTTGGGCTCAGGATTTTATTTTTTCTCTTTCATATTTGCCCTTCCCTTGTCCCCCAAATAATTTTTGAGATGATAGAAGAATATACAGTATATCAAACATCTAACGCAGGATTCCCTCTGGGATTCCTGGCTTTGAGGGTCAAACCTCGTTTATATTTCATCCTGTTTACAAGATGGAAGGCAGGCTTTTGGTCTTATCCTCGCCATCCACTTAGGTCAAGCTTTTAGCGTGAGCAAAGGCAACTAATGTATTAATATTTATAGGTTGTAAAATTTATTGACTTTTAAAAAAAATAAAATCTCAGTAAAATCTCACATGCCTGGAACTTGATATTTAGTGGTGACATTCTCTCTTCTTTGTATTTATTACAAGCATAGAAGTAGTTTTACTTCCCGCTGGGATATATTGATGGGGAATAATGAAGTTACCCCTCATGGAGAGCAGGGAGCAGGAGCACACTCATCCTTGGCCGATAGGAGCTCTTTTGATAGAGCAGCATCATCTCCTTCCTTTCTCCCATCTGCAATAGTATAAAATGAAGTGACTCTTGGGCATGGAGCTGGTTTACCCTCACCTTTGAAATCAGATTAGGCTAGGGGTATCCTATTTTGATTTTTTCCTCCCTTCTCTCCTTCACATCTCCTCATCCCTAGTTCGCTTCATTAATACAGATCTCTTTTCTTCTTTCTTAGCTTTTCCAACTAAGGTTTTTGGGTTACAAGACACAGATCTTCGGTGGGAAGGCGGGGAAGCTTTTGGTTTCAGAGGGGGATGTCATCAAACAAACATCTCAATGTCCTCATGCCTTTGTTTTGTCATTACTGATCATTGTTGTGTTCAGCATTGTGGGTTTGATTTTCCTTTTTTTTTTTATCCAGATCCCCCCACAACTATCCCTCCTCCCACAACAACCACCACCACCACCACTACCACCACCATCATCCTTACCATCATCACAGGTACGGTACCTTCATTACCACTGAAAATGTCCTGAATGTATATTGTCTTTCTGGTATGTATGCAAAGAAGCCGAAAAGTTCTCTTGAAATCCTTGGAATTTAATTGTTCCTTTATTTTGGAACTTCAAAGACATTAGCTGCTGTGTTCTTAAGTTGAATCTTAAGGACCCCAGAAAATCTTTAACATCCAGGCACTTAACAGTAGATCAGATATTTTGCAGCTTACACTTAAGAGAATTCTTTTTTAAGCATCACTATTCAAAGCAGAATGCTAGAGAAAGTGGCAGCCTGGCTATTACATGCCGATAGCTTAGGCTTAGCCACGGTTGATGAAATGGTAAGTATTCTGGCTTTGGATCTTCTCCTTGTCTTAATTCCATCTTAATTCAAATGAAGGAAAATACACACCCTCTAACAGGCCCATGCGGGCCATGTTTCGAAGTACATCTCCATCCTTCCTGCCCCAGAGTACCTGCTGACAAAGTGACCACCTGTTTGTGTTGCCTGGGTCAGGAGGTCAGAGAGAGTCACTTGTCTTCTCTGAGCTGAGCACTCACGTACCCCCCCCCCACAGCCCTCAGTTAAATATTGGAGGTGTGGAAGAGGCAGCCACAGCCATTGTGACTCTGTGGCTTTATCTTTTTTGGACTGGCCGAAACTAATTCAAAATGAGGTTCATTGTCTCTGATTTCTATCACTGAGGGAGGAAGTGTGCCATCCATCCCCTTGCTGGCACCCAGCAGCTCTCATACCACTTGATGTTGCTTGTCTGGGAGCCCTGGCGCTTCCTCTGCCTACGGTGGCAGGAAAGGTTATGGTTGCACCATGTCTACTAGACATCCTTAGGTAAGCGCTTCCCCAACCATGTGTAGGAGTACTGACCCCAGAACGAGTAAAAGTAATTATTCTCTGAGGAAAAAAAAATTCTTTAAAAGTTAACTTTCCTGCTTCATTCTGTTATCCCAGGAGACTGCAAGGTCTCTCTGAGCTCCACACCCCAGGATACAGGACTTCTTTTAAAGCACTGAATATATAATTCATCATTCTTCGGTGGAGGTCCTCGTTAGCACCCCAGATAGGGCACCTGTCCTTTACACTGACTGTCTGGAGACGTTTCCGGTTTTCACAGGAGTCGGTGAAACAGGCATGACGAAAATCCAGAGTGTTCCGTGGAAGAGGAGGTTGATGAGATAGGACAGTAGATCAGCTAATCTCCCTGTTCTTCACCTTTCTAACCCTTCACGGTGGGACAAAGAGAGCCTTAGAGAAAGCCACCAGTGAGGGTTTTTCTGACTGTTGTTTATGAAAACATCAGTGCCTGCACTTAAAATCTTCTGAAAATCCATCAATTGGTTATGTCTCACTCTGAACTCCGCTCCATCCGGCTGCTTCCTAAATTCTTGTCTGTGTGTATTTCTGCAGTTCCTTCTGCTGCTTAAGTAAACTCAGCTTTGAGCAGAGTACACAGACCCCTCCTCCCTGCACCCCCCGCCCCCCCCCCCCCCCCCCCCCGCCTTTCCACCTCATTCCCAAGCACAGCGAACATGCTCCTTCCTGATTCCTGATTCCAGGTGGTCGGGCTAGCAACTTTCTGTACTGGGAGCCAGGTTTTGACCTCTCGTGATTTCTCTTGCTGCTTATCCAGGCTGTAAACTGAATTAGGCTTGAGCTCTCCATAACAAGTTTTTGTGAAATTTCCTAAGAACAGCCCTTTGGATGTCCCTGGGAACTCACACGTCCAACCCCCTTGCTGCCCTGTACAGGTAGTCGGTCTGTCATTGCAGAAGGGGCCCAGGAATGAGCCAGCCCTTTACTCCCTCTCCTTCTAGAAGGTTCCGTCTAGGTGGCTGTGGCTAGTTAGGTCTTTATTTTAAGGCAGTGGAGGCCTTCCTTGCTCTGTAGAAACACTCCATTTCTCCATAACATGGAACAACACTTTTCATTTGTGGCTGGCCTCTTACTAGCTGAGGCTGACTTTTGGTTTTTGCATTTTGTTTTTGAAGACCTTTCCTAGCACTCCCTGAACTCCCCCTTCCCACCCCAACTCTCAGCAACACAGAAGAGGCGCCTCCACTCACAGCCTTAAGCCTTTACCCCTGACTAAAGCTACTCTTGTGTCCTCCAGCAGCTATAATTCACTGTCCTCAGAGTTCCCAGCAGACAGACTCCATTCAAGAAGAAATTCTTGAAACAAACAATGCTGTATTTCTGTCCATACAAAGGTGATTTTAAGCAGGGGCTTGTCTTGGCCCCTCTCTGCTCCCGGCCCGAGACGCCCTGAGACACAATGAGCTCACAGGTGCACAATGCCTTTCAGTGCCAGCACTTGAACCCTGTCCACATACAGAAGGCATCCGTGGCCATAAACACCCAGATTTCTCGGTGGCACACCCAAGAGTAGTTAAAGTAATTTTGCCTCTAAAACAACATTGTAGGATCCATTGCCTTAACGGACATGATCTTCTCAGCTTGCCGTGCCTTAACAAGCAGTCTTACATATATTTATCTTGCCCAGAAAGTACACTTGTGGAATTTAACATTTGCTCCTTACTTCAAACAGATTAAAGGTTATGGAGCTGAATGATCGTGTGTCCCATTTTAAAGGTCCAGGCTATCCCCGAGATTTAGATTGGTTCCTAAAAAATCTTCCAGACTGAATCTTGACAAATGGATAGCTAAATTAATTTCCACTCTTCTTCTCTCTTGTACCGTTTGCTACATTACAGCCACCATTAGCCTTAAAAGCTGCAACAGCTAAATCCAGTGACAGTAACATAAAGCCTGAGCTTTAAAAAAGAAAAAGAAAAGAAAGAAAAAAAGAAAAAGAAGCAGCCCACAGTCCTCCATTTCTTTTCTCCCACTCAGATGCAATAACTGAAACCCATTCCCCAGGTCACAGTTTCATTACAAGAAAATGTACAAATGCAATAGAAAAATATTTTTAAACTCGGAAGGTCATAGTTGATTTCTGATTTCTCTGAAAGGAAGTGCTTCAGCGTTATCTTTTATCTTCCATAACCAGGATAATCGATGTTCCCCTTGTTAGGGAGGCAGACCATCCTGGAGTCCCCAGTCACCCGATTCCTTCAAAAGCATTTTAAAGCCTCGTCCCGGAGACCCCAGGAAGGGAAAAATTGTGAGCCCAGCCCAATGAGATGCTGCCATCCCGAGTCCTAGACCCGATGGGTGGGAGGAGCTGGGCGGCTCTGACTCCTGTCCCATGTGTATGGAGCAGGTCCCTGAGCTTCGGGTGAAGGCACACGTCTAGCGGTAGCTTCTAGGGGAGGAATTTTTGAAGGCTCTGGAGGACTAAAAGGAATGTCACTTGCCCTGTCAACCTCTCTGCGGCTCTACAAGTCTTAGGCCATTAATGTCATTAGAATCTCTTCCTAAAAACCCTTTGAGGGACAGAATTGAAACAGGAGCCATCCAGAGCCTCATTGTGATTTGCCTTGAGTTTCTTGGGTGTCTCTTCTATTTCATACACACTGATATTCTGATCAGATATTTCTGATACAACTATTGCAATTGACAATTCCCCACTCCTTTTTTTCTTTTTTCCTTTTTTTTTTTTTTTTTTTTTTTTCATCTCAAGTTGTCCGTGTGGTTTCACTCACGGATACTGAAGAGCAAACCACATAATTAAATTGCCCCTTGAACCCTCTGTTAAAATATAGAGCCAGCCAAACCATCATCTGAGTTCAGAGTCCTTCATATAGATTCCTTTCTGAAATTAGAATCAAAGAAAAGCCTACTGCCCTATTGGGGGGGTGGGGCTCTTCTGTTTTGGTTTTTGTTTTGAATTTTCTTTGAAGTTAGTTGACTCTATGTATGAGGTATATATAAAATGACCTGTTTCTGGGCTGGTAGCTTTAAACCCTGCCTGATAGTTGGGTCCAGCTTTTTTGTATAGTCACCTTAGGAAAATAGTTTGTGTTTCCCTCCCTAGATAATGTGGGTATTATATTGTTTCTGTTCAGTCTTGTCCTGCCTTAGATGCTTAATGAGAGTCTGCCTTAGAAGCTCATAGCACTAGGTTATAAACATCCTTAGCAGCTTCCATAGGAAATTCAGGGACTGTTGGTCACACTATACATGTGACTGTCATAAATTAAGGCATTAAAATCACTTTGGAATAAGAAATGAATAGCTATAGGGCCAAAATCTGAAACATATTTAAAAATTCTTTCACAGGAACAAAATAGGTCATTTCTAAATGAGTTTTTCTCTTTTTTAAAGTATGTATCCAATTAAGTATTTTGTATTTCTTGGAAAAGAAAACAGTGGTGTTCTTCTTTTGATACCTAAGCACTCCAAACCCAGTGTACCTTGGGGAAAGTGAGTCCTGCCCCCAGGCCCACATCGTTATTTTGGTTTTCATAATGCGGTATCACAAGCTGTTGTGTGTATAAAATGTATCCAATCCCATAAACGTGAATGCAAGCCTTATCCTTCAGAGATATTCAGAGAGTATGCCAAGTGAGGGAAGCCCAACACCGTGGCACATGTTTTCAGTTCCTTAAATAGAAAGGAAAGAAGTACACCTGTGCTTATGGCAAACTGTTACAGGACCTTCAAAGTGACAGTAGGGAGCCTAGCTTCACATAAAGCAGATAATTGCCAGGTCTTAGCTTAATGATACCTGCTTGGTGCTATTGGGATTTGCTTGGTATAAGGGCCATATGCTTATTGGCTTTTGGTGTTCATTCACCAAATACCAAGCACCCATAATATGTACAGCATATTATGCCCGTGGAGACAAAATTCCTTGAGACCCTTAAAACAGGGTCTGGGGAACAGGTTCTCCACACTGGATCTCAATAGCAGGCACCACTCTGCTGTGAGGGCTGACCAGGTGGCTTGGACAGGACCGGGGAGAGCATCACAGGAGAAGTAGTTTGGTCTGCCATCAAGGAATGGAGAGAAGGGAGATAAGGACGGTGTTTCAGAAATTAAGCCTGAAGGCCCAACTTGACTTCAAGCATCTGTCTTCAGTATGT